GCCCTGTGTCTCACCTGGTTGCCCGTTGACGGCAACATTGCTCAAAAAGTTGCCCCGTGTATCATCAGCCTAAGAGAATAATTTTTTATTAGGGTCATGAACATTTTATAATTTAAAGAACCTTTTGCGCATTGAAGAGTTTCCATTTTCGAATCCTTTCAGCCGATCTCCGGACGCTCCCTGTGCAAGCAGGTGGTCACATTGGTTATGTTGACGGAAGCTGCGTAATATCATTGCGCCTGCTGCACCCATGGTACGGCAGCAAAGTTCCTTGATAATTATAATCTTTGGCCCCTTATTGCTGCTTGCAGCTATATATATTTTTTCTTTATAGTTATCTGTACTTTACTGTACTTGCTTAGCCTCCTCAGAATTATCATAGCGTTATACTAGGTATAACCTTTGCCATCAATTCACTTTTGACACATCAGACACTGGGTACATATCAGTACTGTAACACATATAGCATATCAGTAGTTACACGTACAGTATATTGGTAGAGTTATATGTGCAAAACGTGTGTCTCAGAACTTTAAAATGTGACTCTGTACTATACAGTAAGGTTTAAAGACTGGAAGTCATCAAGATTTGCTTATTCAAACATTTAAATATAATTTGCATATTTACAAAAATATAATACAGCTAAATATGGGTGGATCAAGTGAAAAAGAGTTTGTGTGTATAGTGTTATAGTTTGTATGACCAAAAGTGCACATGGAAAGATGTAATACTGGGGTTTTAACCTCCTAAAATTGATTAAAAAAAAGAAATAAATTAATAAATAAAAAATACCAGGCAGGTATTAAAATGTATGTAAATGCTCTTTATTTCATCACAAAATATGGATGAAATACATGTCAATATGAAAGAGGACATATTTTATGAATACTGCAGTAGCACTAGAAAGAAACCCTTTTCATGTAATTTAACTTAATGTATTTTCTAAAATATTTGTAAGATAAAACTGTATACACAAAGAGACAAATATAAAATACACCTTTAAAAATCCTCTAAGATATAGAATATAGTTGATGTGGAGTGTTAACTACTACATTTGTTTTTACTTGTGTGTCCTAATCAGTGTTGGATAAGTTACTTCAAAAAGTAATGAATTAATAATGACATCATCAACATTGTATTTAAATTACTTTTCTAATTACTCTAATTGTCTGAAAAGTAATTTAATTACTCAATAAGTAACTTAATTACTTGAATCGTTAATTACATTTTAAAATCCCTATAAACCTTGATGCATAGAAAATAGAAATTAAAATCTTATTTTAATTTGAGTCAAACATGTAATAGTTTAGCCTTTTAGCTTTAAAACAACTGTAATAAACGTTTTTAAAAAATGTAACCTTCTTTGGTTAACGAATAGAATTACTCTGCAAAATATCTGAATAAATTATTATTGCTTAGCACATTATAAACATCGACACTGATCTAAACATTCCTAGACTGTAACATTCATCATGCTGCAGTGTAAACATTCACATTATTCACAGCATTATATCTCATTTTTATTATATGATAGCAAAAAATGTACATCCTCGTTTTGTACGACATTTAGCCTGTGATAAAAAGTTGCCTACATATTTCATATTTCACTCGCTTTCACACATTTCAGTTTGGCAAGATAGTTTAAAGCCCAACTAGTAAAATGCGTACGAGTTTTTATAAAAATAACACGTTAACTAATGTAAGTAAGAATAAATTAGGTAAATTCTGGCTTATTCCTCATAGCAGGTCTTCTTCCAAAAACGATGAAAAGTAGATGAAATTAGATTTTCTGTTTTTTTTTTGTATATAGGTGATGAGGGTGTTTGCGCGCAGGTATGGTTGCACATAATGAGCTCAGACGGGAAAGACTGTATCTCGTTTTAGTTTCATATGGATTACATAATCACAGAATATTTGTTTTCAAAGTTTTTTATAGACATATTTCTCACGTCTGTGTGTCAAGTATTGGTTCATTGGTTCTGAGTTTCGGTTAATTTTTGTGACGTGTTTCAGAAAGAAGTTCACGAAGACCGAGATGGCAGAAAGCCCACCCTGGTTGTTTTGTTTATTTTAAAAGGCACAATGTTTGTTGTTATTGTCAGTGTACACAAATAAAAGTAGACCGTTTACAGATTCGATTGATGTCTTAGTCTTATCTGTAACTGAATATTTTAGGGTCTTTTCTCTGTTATCAGGAAAAATTTTATTACAGTAAAGCATTACTTAGTATGTAATGTAATGTGCATACTGTGAAAACTAACAGTATAATTAACAGTAGCAATTGTTTTTTTTTTAGGTAGGCCAACTTCTGGATAGCTGGCCTCACTCTGTGCATTTCAGCTCACACTTAAGAACCACTGTATATTTTATCATAATATTTCTTCTGTATTTTTAAAATAGTCTGTGGCCAATAGTGTCCATCTGGCAGGTATTTTCTTTATCGCCACAATCCACTGAGACGGCAGTTCCTCTGGGCACACTGAAGGTGGTCGTTTTTGCCTCTGCCAGGCCAAGTAGAATGGCACAGGTGGGTAAATAGACATGCTGAACACGGTACACATCTGACCGGCACACTGGACAACACTGATAAGAGAGGAAAGAGGGGAAAATATCATGAATGCTAACACACAAACATATTCTTCTAAACTAAACTAAACTTCTGCATTTTTTTCTTTATTGTTCATGTTAATTATGCAGTTAGGCGATGTGCCAGCTTTAACTATACAGTCATGCACCGCTGAAGTGATAGAACAGGGATGTCAGAGGGTGAAATTTAAAAGGTCGCAGGACTGCTGCGTAATGAGAAATGGCTGATTATCGAGATCTTCAGCCGCTAATGGTTGACAGCACATGTCGAGAAATATGTTATGAGAGTAACCAGAGGTTATGTAAACCTAAGAGTGTAAGTTCTCTTACATCATTAACTTAATCATTAACTTAACTGGTCAATTTAGATGATTGCTAAGCATGAGAAAAAAATCACTTTATTTTATTTGTCATCAATGTTGAACGAGTTGAACGTTTCTTCACAAGAAAATACCATAATATAACACAATATTATATGTAATATAGTATTATATAAATATATAGTAATAAATATTATATATTATATATAATATATACACACATAATATATGTTTTTGTATACATATGTGTGTGTGTGTATATATTAAAAATACAATTAAAATATATTTAAAAAATATATATAAAAAAATTATGATTATGACAAATTTTTAGACTTTATTGTTTTAGATCATGATTAACACAGCCTGCATGGATAGAATTGGACTTGGTACTTACAGTATATATTGTTTATAATTCTAAGTCATATACATATATGCATTTTTTATAGTTCTAAATGGCACTAATCTTGTAGTAATTATGCCACAATCACCTGAAGTTGGCCGGCACAGTTATAGCAGCAGAACATGTGTCCACAAGGACAGAACGCAGCATTGATCTCCTGTTTGCAGCACAGAGAGCAGGTCAGGGCCTCTTGTAGCCTTTGGAGCTTCTCCTTCAGTAAGCAAGTTTCTCTGCAGCCGCCACACATCCGCTCCTCCTTTTCAGCTTTTGTCTGTCTCAGGGGAGAGTGACTGCAACCGTCTCTTGGGCTACCACATCCGGTCACAGCCATCCCTGCTTTGAACAGGGTTCGACGCACACAGTCATATACTTCTTTGGATGTGCGCTGGATGTCAAAGATGTACCTTTTACCAAGGTCAATGCTTTCATTGAGGAAGAGGGAAGCCAGATGACCCTTGAAGTCACGGCTATATTGCATCTTCACTGTACTCATTACAGTGTCACACCTGAAGAGTTAAGTTCAAATTGTGTTGAATTAAAAATGGGTATGAAATTGTTTTAAATTGCTCTATGGTTTATATGTTTATATTTTTAATGTATTGATCACTAATGGAGCCCATAAAGTTTCTGTATTGCAGGTGTTCATTGAGATAATGAAAATTGAAAATGAAATGAAAACAGTTTTGTTTATTTTTACTTTTAAAATAAAAATATGCTAAATAAAATAAAACTTCAATAAACTTTAAAAAACTAACAATGACAGTGAAAACCAACAAAAAACTAAAGTCAGACAGATTTAAAATAAAACAGAAATAAAACTAAATTCAAAATTCAAAACTATAACAGCCCTGGTTGAACAGTAGCAAATGCTTAAAAGCAAATGCTTTTTCTCTTTTAAAAAATCCCTTTACTAAAGTACGTTCGGTAGAGTCATAACAATATTCACCTGTAGAAGGCATGGATTTCCGTGATAGCACGATATAGTCCATTGGCAGCACTGGGACTGATGAACTTAAAAAGAAGAACCACACTGTCCCCACTGTCTTTTGTAATGGTCACATACACATTCCTTCCAGACTGAGTGGCCATTTGAATGACTGGGTAAATGATTCTGAAATAAAAAATAAAGGTGAGATGTTATAGACACATTTATTTTCAATCTCTGAATGACCCAGTGTTTAACAGTGTTTCTTATTTTGTTGTCATATATATGCACCTTTCAATAGGGGTGAAATCTGTTTTGCAGACAAACAGGCCCTCTGGTCCGACCCCGATGAGTAGCTCCTGTCCCTCAGAGTCACGTGCGGAGTGCCACTCGACGCCATAGTAGTTGAGGGAGGAAACCAGCTGCAGGGCTTGATATTCTGCTGAAGCCTGACTAACACTCTCCAGTGACTTATGCCTCAACAAAATACTATAAAAACACAAAAGATGCCACTGTTCTTCCACAAAACTGTCTCAATCACTTTCTTTCTTTACAGCATTCAGAGGAATAATTACTTTAGTTTTATTTGGAGGAAGAACAGATGTTATTCTGACTGAGAATACTGTATACACTTTCCAGTGTACTTACTTGTTGATGGTATCACGGCTGGGGTCTTGACCGTATATCTGGGAGTAGCAGTAGTTGGCTGTGTTATGGTTGTAATCTCCAAACTCCGCCTGAGCCAGTAGTGCACAGAGCTCGATCGCCTGCTCTGCGTCCAATCGCAAGCTTCCTTTGAAAAGCTCTTCTTTCACATGCATCAGAAACAAATATCTGCAAAGCAACAGGGAATACATGGAAACACTTAATAAATACATATTTCATAACAAGACGTGAAGTCTACTCATTAAGGAACAAGAAGCACATTAGTCAATTCTATATACTTACACACCAGTGTTTATTATTTTCCTAAATTCTTTTCATATGGTAAATGGATGATGTACTGTATGGAATATAGACAGATAATAATGTGAATAATTTTGTGTGTCTTTTAAAATCATCATTATGTAATTGTATCTCTCAAAAACAATGCACCGTCAGCCCACTGATATAATCTAAAAAATAAGCTGGCTTGAAGCCAAGTTTACTCAGCAGCCTAAACCCAGTGAACTTTAGTAACAGAAGCAGACTTGTGACTTTTGGAACATATTTCTATAACTTGACATAAATCACTTGTACATGTGAGAACAGGGAAGAAATAGTATAATACATTTATAAACTTTTAAATAATGCAGATCAAACCTATTGCCAACTGACGTATTTATTATGATTAGTATTGCATCACATAAAGACAAGTAGCCTATTAGCCAATATGCATTTTAACATAAAACAATAAAGTTCACAGTCTGCATTACAATAAGTAATCTCTTGGCATAATCATGCATTTAAAGACTAACAAAGGCTGACGGAGAGTGAGCTGGATTTTGTCCCGCTATTGTATAAGATTATGCAACAGGGAGAATCACATTACAGTGCGTTTCAACTCAGAATCAGACATACTGACACTTCCCCACCCCCACCAACAGCCCTCATCAGACGTGACCAAACAGCTCCACTAGACTCTAGTTGGGAACACACTGTACTACCATTGTATTCCAGAGCATCCCACAAAATGCTTACTTTTCTTGAACTTTAGGGAACATTTATAAAGATTTGAGCATGCATACACAGATGTCCCTTAAAAAAGCCTCCAGAGGAATATGATTTACCTCAGCAGGCCTATATGAGGCACTCCACTGAAAGAGTGCCAGTTTCAAGAGCAAACATGCACACAGGTAACTGCCACAGAGGTAAAAGAAAGACATTACGAATAGATACATGGAGATGTGGATCAAAGGTAAGAACAAAAAACAACAGAACACATGGATTTTTAAATTATACTGTCACTTTAAGCACTATAGGCAGCTGCTTCCTGTTTGCGCTCAGGAGAAAAAAAGAAAAAAAAAACAGAACTGTTATCTGTATGCCTCAAGTTCTCCAAAGTGAGCAAAAATTGTAAAACCTCAAAGACTCTGCAGCAACAGACAGATCCTGTTTCTTTTTTTCAATAATGGAAAAACTATGTTTTGTGCACAATTATGCACAAACTATGAGCACTAATGTAAAATATGACCACTTATATTCACTTTGGCAGTTTCACCTGGTTTGCTCTTGCAGGATTAGATGTGGCTCAACAAAGAACTTCACTCGCAGCCTCAGTCTGCAAGGAGACATGCAGTCCACTTGTTGAGAAATCCTGTTTCTGAGATTCATCCATAAAATCTCTCCCTTTGTACCGGTGAACTGAAGTCCAAAATAATCTACCTCTATTATTCCCATTTTCCGACATATCTGTGGATTAAATACAAAAACATTAAATGGTAATTTTTTTGGATGCATAAGTATGTGTGCTTTCATCTGAAGAATGCTGGGACTTGGCCTTTAGCACCCCTCCTCCTTTAGAAAGACAAGACATGTTACATAAGGGGGACTTTTGAATATGGTATGAGAACACCTGCTTTCAAAGTAAATTGCTGATGCATAAATAATTATACAAAAGAACGAGAAGTTCTTACATCTGCTGTAGAAAATCACAAATGTTGCAAATTAATTAATGTTAAAATAATTCGTTTAAATAATTCTAATATAAAAATTAATTATTTAAAATAATAATATTCATTATTTTTAAACTATATAGATGAAAACTGCCAAACATTTGTGTTATATACAGTAATTGTCATGACATTCAAGATGATACATTACATTTGCTATCTTGTATATGATGCTAATGAGCATATGATAATTAAGAAAGGCTTAGATAACTTTAAAAACCTAAACTTGAAACGTAAATTCCCTACACTCACCTTATTGAGAATGTCCTCTCCGTTTGCTTTTGGGTCCACCTCCACTTCCAGAACCACCGAGTCCGGACGAGTTATGTGGCATATCATGGTGAATGCAATTATTGTTTCACACACAGTTCAGGACAGCAGAGAGAAGGTCCCGTCACTGGCTCACACCTCATTGGAAAACCAGCGAGAGCAGATTTATGGAGAAGGGTCTGGCTGCAGCTGGCACTTGCACTCTCAGACGTGCATTCTCAGGCTTGCACTCTCAGACACTTGCACTTCCGCTAGCGACGTCACTTGCAGTCTTTTTTATTTTTTATTTTGTTCTATTTATTGATTACTTTTTGTTTGAATCTCTCAACATTTTACAACAGTAGCCAGGTGGTGAAGACAAGAAAAAAGAAACTAAATTACGAAGTCACTTGCAATCGCCACTTGCACTCTCCAACACCTGCGACGTCACTTGCAATCGACACAAATTGTGCATGTTGCCAATGGAGACAAGACGCTGTGGTGATTAAACGATTAAAACTAATTTAGTACTATAACATACAGGGTCCTGCAAGAAAAAGACAGTCGGCGATTTCACAAAACCTGTCGGCGAGTGAAAAATCGGGCTAATATCGTGCAGTGTGAACTCGGCATAACTCAAAGATCCGCCTCTACGTTATCTGATGTCCGATTCGCGAATCATTATTTTGAACAGGTTCTTTTAAATGATTCGATCGAACTGATTCGCAAAGCGTTTGTTCCACACTCAAGTCAAATAATATTCGTCGACATTCGACCATTTATGTACAAGGAGAAACGAAATTGCGTTTCTCTACAGGTCTTAGTGCTAATTTACATAAAACGATTGAATTTTAAATCTTGAATATTTAACTAGGCTAGGCTAAACACATAATGCTGAGTGACATATCACATAGCATAAAAAATGGCATAGCAGCACCGACATTTTAAAAATCTGAACACCAATAACAAGTGAATATGGCAACATAAACGTGATTCAGGTAGCTCCTGTATATGTGATATTCTGTACTATAGTGTGTAAAGCAAAACTATAGTTAGTATAGGAAAACTACAGTGTTTTTTTTTAACCGGTTCATTGAAACGAACTGTATAATGAACCGATTAGCCAAAATTAATTAGATTAGAGAATCGCTGAACAACCCTTCAGTCACTTTCGCTCTCAGTTCCAGTAGCCCCTCACTGCAGGAACACAAGATCCAGGGGGCGTGGTTGGATCCACATCTAGGGGGTGGAGATGGGTGGGTTTAGGGATCAGGGGGTGGAGACGGGTAGGTTTAGGTATATGAAAGGTGGGAGGAGTTGGATCTAGATCCAACCACGCCCCCTGGATAGTTTTGAGGGCGTGTGTTTAACTAGTACAGGAAGGACTCACGTTAGTACAGCTATCCTACAGACAACGAGGATAGAACAAACTGGGTGTGATTATAATATAGTGACCCAAATCCACTGTTGATAATTGAGAAGGTAAAACAGTGGTTGCATGAATAAGCCAACTAACGTTAGTCCTGCAGACATTGTCCGACGGAGCAAAGCCCACAACGGGACATTAGGACATTGTCATCTGACAAAGGATGACTGAAGCCCTCGTGAAAGACTGTAAGCAAACACAGATCTAATCTAAATGTCATCCATCAAGCCTGTGTAGGAGGATTAAAGCAGCTCAAGGACATGTTTGAGAATTTCAGAGAGAGACTGCAAACGGTGCAGCAGGACTTTACATCAGGGTATGTATTTACTACCTGGCTGCTTTCGTACTCTCCAGAGTCTTAATAAGGTGTTGAGATAGCTAAATTAGGTGACATTTAGAACCTGTACAGGCATTACACAATATTGACACAACTTCTGTTTTGGCTTCCTCATGAGAGTGTCCACTTATTCAGCGAAGAGCCAAAAAGAAGTGGATGCTAGCTAATTAGCCTGCTAATCATCTCACTTACAGCGAAGAGTGTAGTTTGTTTTTGTCTTAGATATTGACAAAACAAAATCTGGTTGGTTTAAAAAGAAAGTGTATTTCATAATGTATTTTTATAGGATGAAGAATGACACGTTCGAGATGTTCAGTGCTGTCAAGTTAGCCGCATGCTAACAACTGCAATCTGGAATTGTACTAATAACTTGCAGCTGACCGTCATGTGATGGGCGAGACCGAATTTCTGCGTTTTTATGACACAGTTTCTTATATAAATCCAATTTTTCTGTTTAACACGGTGGAAACGTAACGTTAAATGTAAATGTTTCAAAATGACACTGGGTTTTCAACAACAGTAATAAACCGCACAAACCAAAACATAAGTAACCAAACATAAAGCAATACAATAGTGTAGTTTTGTTCCTAAGCGTATTATTTAGATATTTACGGTCTCATATTTAAAAACTTTTCAGAATCAAGACCTTAAGTGACAAATCCAAGGAGACAAAAGTAAAGAAGAAACAAAGGTAAGCTGTAACAAGTTTAAAACTTCTCACTGTATATAATATAATATAAAACAATTTATTACAGATTTTTTTGTGTCCTGTTTAATTTTTTTTTCTGAGCAAAAATTATGAATATCATACATTTTTACCATGATTTACAGAAGACAGCCTCTAAAATATCATGCAGTATAACAATAGTTAATGTAACAAAAAATATTTTTAGGCATATTTAGAGCAGGAATCATTAGATGACATTAATATACTCTATGTAAGGATCACAGCACAGCCCCCCAAAACTAATTAATTGTGATTTTAAATCTTTACAAATCTTTAACATGATCATTCAAAGTTTTACCCATTTGTCAGCAAGAAGTTTTAATCAATTAAAATATAATAAAATTTAGTCTGATCCCTTTTTATTTTATACAGTTTAATAAGTACAGGTCAGAATAAGTATGTTGTGTAATTTTAACAAATATATGTTACGCTGAAATATTAAATCTTTGATTAACATTACACTTTGACACGACACTTTACTTACATTTAATATGCTTTCTATGTATATAAAATGTGAAGACCAAAATGGTATGTCTCATCTTTGACATATTTTGTTTTATATTATATATTTATTTTATATATACAGTGGTGTGAAAAAGTGTCGACTGATAGATCTCAATTACTTTCTTTCTCATTTGTTTCTGAATTTCTTTGGATCTCGGCATGATGTCTAGCTTTTGAGGATCTTTTGGTCTACTTCACTTTGTCAGGCAGGTCCTATTTAAGAGATTTCTTGATTGCGAACAGGTGTGGCAGTAATCAGGCCTGGGTGTGGCTAGAGAAATTGAACTCAGGTGTGATAAACCACAGTTTTAACAGGGGGGCAAACACTTCTTCACACAGGGCCATGTAGTTTTGGATTTTGTTTTCCCTTAATAATAAAAACCTTCATTTAAAAACTGCATGTTGTGTTTACTTGTGTTATCTTTGACTAATATTTAAATTTGTTTGATGATCTGAAACATTAAAGTGTGACAAACATGCAAAAAAATAAGAAATCAGGAAGGGGGCCAACACTTTTTCACACCACTGTATATTCAATTATATGAATATTTTGTCATATATTCTGTCAGAAGAGATGAACACTTTCCGCAATATTCCGCTGGAATCGAGTTGCTCAGTCGGTAAGTTACTTTACTTTACACAACCATATAAAAAATGTCAGTGATGTTAAGTTGTCAACAAAAATGTTAATGCAGTTTAAACTCCATTTAAAGAGTCTAAGGAAATATTTTCAGAAATACCTGAAGTTGATAAATGTATTCATAACCATATTTTAAAATGTATGGCCTTTGTCATCACCAGATATGAAGACACTTGGGTGGCTCTTCATAAACGGGCTAAAGAGTGTGCTAATGCCGGGGAAGTAAGTTCACACATCTAACTGTACAGTTGAGGGTTTGTGGTGCTGTAACTATGGTAACTAAACCCTGTGGTTGTGTCTGTCTGTCAGACGGTGGACGGGGAGGTTGTGATGCTGTGTGCACACTGGGAGAAGAGACGAGGAGCAGTGCTGGAGCTGCAGGAACAACTGCAGCAGATCCCTGCTTTCCTCTCGGACCTGGAGACTATCACCTCACGTATCGGTGAGACATTCACAAACAGTCATCACACATAAAAATCTTAATCAATGCTGAGTTATTCATATAGCGATATTTTATGTTTTTTTTTAACCATTTTACACATACAATCACACCGGTGTTATCGCTTTAGGCTGGTCCCTGCAGCGTACGAGCACACCGGAGTGATTAGAACATTCAGTGCATCACATGATCAACTGCTAAAATCAAATCTGCTTTTGCGCTTTGACTGGCGCTGAGCTCAGCACTTGTCATATTATCACAACTATTCAGTGTTTTTAACCACATAATATTTATTTTAGGTTTAAGACATTTAAACACACATAAGTACTAGTAAAAACAATACATTTATAGTTTGTAAAATATAGTCTGAAGTCTATGGAAGTGGTAATAATGATCCTTTCAAATATACCAGTAATTTGAAGACATGTTTTATTCATGTAAGATACACATTGTGTAGGTAACTATAAAGTTTACTCTATTCTTCTTCCAGTTCACCGTCCACTTACTTTCATGTCACTTACTTTCATGTCTTTTGGGACGAGAGGGTGCATTTAGGTGTTGTAAATCCGACAGCTCCGATTCTCTGAATTGCAGCGCGAACTAACTTGGCATATTATAAAGCTTTTGAAACCACCAAATATGTTTACTTACACATATTTGAGAATCGGAATATCAGATATTTCACAATATAGTTAACACGTTTGTGAATATTTTGAATAAAAATGAAATAAAAGCAATACATGACTCATGCAGAGCTGTTGTGGCTGCAGTGTGTCACGTAACAAGAAGATGATACATTCTAAAATAATGGATGCCTAGGAAAACTCACGCTGGGTGCCCAGCTAGCATAAACGTATGTGTGAAAGGGTTAAAATTGTTAGAGAAGCAGGTTATTAATATTACACTAGTTTTAAACGGCTCATTTGGATTCATTGACAAATCTTCCTCTCTGCTGTAGTTCTTAAAACTCATATGCACTTTCATATATTGAAACTTCATCCCCAGCTGGAACAATCTCTCTTGTCTTGCCAAATTTGAAAATAATATAACATGAGCTGCTGTGAATGGGAGGATTAGCAGTGAATTATGGCCTAAAT